TCCGGGGCAGGAGGCAGGCGGGAATCGAACTCATGCGGAAGTGGCTTCAGATTCTCAGTGCTGTGCTTTAACCCGCTGCGCCACCAGGGAGGGCCTCTAGTTTAGTTCTTTTGTGGTATAAGAGCAAATACTGTATGGTTTCTGTTCATTCAGATTTGTTCATGTTTGTCATATGGCCCAATATGTTGAACTCTCTATTGAGAGTTCCATGCGAGCTTGAGACAAATGTTTGGAGGGACAGTCTGTAGACATCAGTTAATACTTAGCTAATTTATGATGATGTTGAGTTTTCTGTCTACCAGATCTGTTCATTCTAATAAGGAGATGTTGAAGTCTCCAACTCAGATAGTGGATTCATCCATTTCTCTTTTGCAGTTCTATCAGGTTTTGCCTCATTAATTTTTGCCTTATTTTGACATAAGTATGTATGTATGTGAAGGATTGTTACTCATCTTGAATAATTGATCCTTTTATAATGCCTTCTTTATTCCTAATAACTTTCCTTTGTCTCAAGTCAGTTCTCTCTGAAATTAATATAACTACTCCCTGCTTTATTCTTGTTAGTGTCAGCATAGTATATATTTCTACATCCATTTACTTTCAAAGTGGATTTTGTTTCTTGATCCTCCCTGACAATCTCTTTTAATTGGTACATTTATACCACTGGTCACAGTGATTATTGTTATAACTGGATAATGGCTACCATATTTGTTACTCTTTTCTGTTTGTTGCCCTATTACTTTTTATCTATATCTCCTTTCTGCCTTTTGTGAATTTGTTTTTAAAAGATTTATTTACACATACAAGAACTGGGGTATAGGCTAGAGGTGGGGGTGGTATACATGAGACGATTCATCAGAGCCAGATTCCGGAGCAGAACAGGCAGATCTAGTGAGATACACTGCTGAGGAAAGCAGTGGGGGAGACATGAGAGAGCAGCTGTGCCATGTAGGTCAGCTCCCTGGCCATGGTTTGAACTCATAGCAGAGTGGCTGGCAGTAGCTTGATAGTGCTGAGACTTTAACCCCTGTGCCACCAGGGAGGCTCCTTTTGTGGTTTTAGTTGAGTTGGGGTGTTTGTTTTGTTTTATTTTTTTAAGGTGCTATTAATTTGCAACACTGTATGTTTTAGGTGCACACCTCTTCAAATTTTTTTTTGTTTGTTTTAAAGATTTTTAAAATTTATGCATAGAAGATCTGGGGTGTAGGCCAGGGGTGCTGGGAGTAAGAGGAATAACCAAAGATAGAGTGGAAAGCAGAACAGGCAGATTGACTGAAATACGCTGATGAGGGAAGCATGGGGCAAGACAGGAGAGGTCTGCTGTGCCATGTGGGTTTTCTTCCTGGTTGGGCATCAAACTCAAAGTGAAGGGCCTTCTCTTGCTTGCAGTGCTGCACTTTAACCCATTGTGCCACCAGGGAGGGCCCTCTTTTCAGTTTTATGTATTGTTGGTTTTTTCCCTCACACTATTATACTGACTAGAATCTCTAATATAGTTTTGAATCAAATTGTGACATGAGTTTTCTTACCTAATCCACAGGGCTGTATAGTTGTGTTTTGTTTTGTATCCTTTATTTAAGGGTCAAGCCATCTTAATGAGGGGTTCTGAGGGGAGAGATGGAGGGGCAGGAGGATGAAACCTGAAGTCTCAGTCCAGAGGGGATCTCCTTAGCTTTCTAGTTGCAGAAAGCTGTTGTTGTTTTTTTCCCCCAGATGCACTTTATGAAGTTAAGAAAGTTCTCTTCTATTCCTAGTTTGTAAAGAATTTAAATAGGCAGCCCTCCCTGGTGGCGCAGCAGGTTAAAGCACAGCACTAAAAAGCTAAAGCCACTTCGCATGAGTTTGATTCCCGCCTGCCCCAGAGGTGACCACATGGTGTGGCAGACCTCTCCTGACCCGCCCGCTGCTCCCCTCAGCAGT